CAACAAAAATTAGAGTTATATTATGGCAAGATAACCCCAAAAACACATTGAAACGATGGCTCGCAAGCTAAGGCATGAAGGCATACGCAATGATTCATGTTAAGGTATAAAGGGGCAAACCCTCCAACGCATTGAATAAGTGAAAGATGCAAGTGTATGAACACACTATATGGACTGAAATCACATTTCAAATGATTCCAAATCATTCAAATAGGTCAAGCAATGCATGCTAGTGGACTTGATACACAAAGCTAATAAGCTAGATTGAACCATGGCTATACAAAGCATGGCATGCATGACCGACAACACAAATTAGAGCCTGAGCATGCTAAAACATGGACAAAAGCTTCTTGAAGTTAAGCTAAAAGCATGCTAGAATGACATGTTAAAGCGTGACGCATGTTAGGCTAATTCATGGAATTGCACTACAAGTGCATGGAGCATGCAAAGGCCAACCAAACCAAACCTTAACAGAGGTATGTCATGGAAAAAAAATCACCAAAAACATGCAGAGATGGACTCAACAGAAGCTAGAAAGGCATGCTATTTCATGAAGCATATAAGACTAGTTTATGAAATTTACACTACAAGTGTATAAGGCATCCAAGAGCCAACGAAACCAACCCAAAACAGATCTAAGGCATGTCAAAATAACACCAAAAACCTACTGAGATGGCCCCAAAACCTACTAGAAAGACAAGCTCAAACATGAGGCACACAAAGCTAGTTTGCAAGATTTACACTACAAGTGTATAAGGCATGCATGGAATGACCAAACCAAGTCAAAACAGATCTGAGGCATGCTGAAATAACCCTAAATACATGCTAAGAACAAGCCAACACAAGCTTAATAAATATGCTCAAACATGAGGCATATGACACAAGTATACAAAACACAAGGAGAGGGGATGACCCTCTCCTATTAGGGACCTCAAAATCACCTTTCCACCACTGAAAATCCTCTGAATTTCAGTGGTAGAAAGGTCATGCAAAGGCTATAACAAAAGCCAAAAGGGGTGGCTCAAAACAAGGCCTAACAAGGCCTAAGAGGGGGTGGACCACCCCCAATGCAAAAGTGACCTTAAACAAACTTCACAAGGACTGAAAAACAAAACTTTTTGCAGTAGAAAGTCAAAGCAAAAACAGCATGCAAGTAGGGCTAAAATCTTAAGCAAAAATGGGGGTTTAAAAGGTTAAAAGCTCACCCTTGAAGACCACCCTTAAAGCTGTAACTCCAGCAGTTTCTTTAAGCTCAAACCAGTCCAAGAACTTCAAAACAACTTCAAGGGACCTCAGCTCCAAGAGTATGGTGTTTAAGTGTGTGTTTGTGTGTTAAAGTGTGACAAAACTACACTTTTGAAGCATAAAAATGAGGTAAAGGGCAAGATAGATACAAGGGTGTATCTACAACTCTTAAGGCAATTTTTCTGAACCTAGAGGAGGGAGGAGGTGGTTCTCTCTTATAGAGAACAAAAGACAAAGCTTCTTGAGGAAGCTAAGGGTTCAAGGCCATCCCTCCATACACGTGCATGGAGGATGGTTTCAGTGCCCTCCAGCTGCCAGCTGGAGGAAAATATCTCCAAAAAGGTGACAAAAAGCAGCCGACCACCATAAGTGGGACCAAGACAAAAACTGGTCGGCCATGGTGGGAGAGAGTCTAGAGCATGAAAACAATGCAGTGGTGTGGTGGCCGACCAGAAAAGATGGCCCAAAGACCAAGAAGACCAGTTGTCAGACCAAAAAATTGGCTGGCGGGAAGAAAAGTGGTCTCCAAGGGGAAATAATGGTCTTCCACCCTTGTACCGCTTTCCAAACAAGAAAAACAAGGCTTGTACCAAAAACAAACCAAAAAGGATGTAAGACGAAAGTTCGGGAGGGATAGCACGCAGCCAGAAGCCTCGAAAACTAGTCTATGGGCATCAAAGGTGGTCTACGACCACAAAAGTGGTCTCCCGGACCACAGCGTTCCTCTAGGCAGAGGCAACAAGGCATGGTTCAAAAATCAAGCCAAACGGAGAACGTTAAGCGGTCCCGAGACAAGGCGCGCGACCGAAGGCTCCGAAAATCAAAAACTAGTCTTCAAGCGGGAAATGTGGTCTACGACCACAAAAAGGTGGTCTACTAGACCACTTCCTCTCTCCAGGGAAGAGAAACAAGGTTCGGTCCGCAAACCGAGCCAAAGTACAAAGAGTTCGGAAGCCCGGAGGCAAGACTCTCAGCCAAAACTTTGAAACCTCTGAACGAGCACAACATGCACAATCACCGAACACTCAATCGATGACGTCTGAGTCTTAAGGCCAGTCAAAAATGGGGTGTTTACACTTATTTCAACTCTATTATATGCATGTGTAATTCAACTCTACCATATAATAAGTCTAAGTTATTCGTCATGTTTCAATCAGAAACATCGCCAACTTAGTTCAACTCTATTATATGCAAGTATAATTCAACTCTGTCGTATAATAAGTTTGAGTTATTTGTCATGTTTCAATCAGAAACATCGCCAAAGGGCTGGTCAGTTCAATTACACAAATGGACTTGATCAGGAAAGTTATTCAAATAAATTAACTAAGTAAGTTGTTTAATTTTATTCTGTTTTTTATTTGTTTATTTAATCAGATTTTAAATTTGTTTTTGTAACAAAATAAAATCTGTAGTTTTATTTATTTATTTTTATTTCGAGTTTGATTTTTGTAATCAAACATATTCTCTCCTTTTCTTTATTTCTTTAAAATTCTAATTGTTGTTGTGTACACAATAGAATTAAATCTTTTAAATACAGTGAAGATTGCCTAACATAGACCATATCATATTGTGTAATATACCAATTACATGAAATATTTCTCACAAAATGGTATAAAAAATGGTGTGAACAGGAATTATCTAGAAAACCCATTTAGGTTAACGTTGATGTCATCTTTTTATCCAAAATTTGGGACCAAAATAAAAAAGGGTAACTCAGGCATGAGGATAATAACAACGGCGCCAAGAGAGATTGATACTCTCTCTCTTTCTCTCTCTCTCTCTCTTTTGTCCTATTATGAAATGTGGTGAGTGACGTTGCAGACGTTGGATGCCCTAGCTGAAAGGGATGATGGAGGACTTTTTTGTCCAATCGAATTTTCTTTGTTATACTAGTCAGATAATTGATAGATATAAAATTAATATTATATAAATTATTATTAAATTTTTTGTTTTGATTGACCAAATTTATTAATAACAATGCTACAACTTCTAAAAAACACAATTTTTACAATCTTCACTCACTTGTGATTGGTCTAGAAAAAAAAGAAAAAAATAAATAAATAAAATGGAGTCCCAAGCATTTTGGTCTAGGAAGACACATGATTGACTTATCATTTTTTTTTTTGTTTTGGGAGGGGGTCATGAGGGTCCCTAACTTTGAGAATCCCAAGCATTTTTGATTTATTAATAACATGGAGTATTTTTTTTTTGGTTAATATCTTCTCTCTATTGCTCTCTCAATCTGAATGTTAATTTTAGCCGAATTTTTCTTTTCCATATTGAATTAAATTCATTTATGTATTAAATAAAATAAAGAAGAATTTAGTTAAAACTGCTCAGTTGGACCCTTGTTTGGTGAAAATGACGACCCAATTTATTTATTTTTTTAAACCCCAGAGCATAAATGAGTAAGGACAAAATAAAATATTCTTTTTTTAGGAATAATATTACCAGAGTAACATGTTAATGTTTATATCAATTTTGACAGTAATAATTTATTTATTTTAAAGAATTTCATAATCAACATGAATCTTACTTAATAGATCTTGATAAAAAAAATTCTAAAAATACTAATTTTATTAAAAATCAATATCTAAATCAAAAGTTATACTATTTTAAAATTTAATATTTTGATAATAGTAATATTTGTTAGACTTTTTGAAAAAACCTTTTATACTTGACACGGGGGGGATTGTTTGAACCAAATCTCCTTAAATAAAACTCAAGATTCTAACCAAGCTCAAACAAAACAAAGTTTTAACTCGTCGACCTTGTAGTCCTAGATAAATATGCCTAAATATATATGTCTAAATATATATGTGTGTGTTGGAGAGTAAACAAGTGGCAACATAAGATAAAAGACAGCATTCAAATTTTGATGAGGCCATGTGTCAAGCGAGGATCAATTCATAGACAAATAATGAAAGTTAGTTCAAAATTAGTCTAAGCTGTGCGTAAATTGATTCCAACACTTTAATCATAAAAAAAAATTAAAAAATTCTTAGACAAATGGTGAAATGTTTGATTATATCTCATATTCTAATACAGCCAAGCCAACCTATCCATAAGAAAATAAAAGAAGAAGGTATCCGCGTAGATGAGAAAGAGAAAGAGAGGGAGTGGTGGTGGACCATGGTGATGAACTTTAAGAAATAAGGGGAGAGAAGAGAGAAGAAATGTAATGAAAAGGGGGAGGTGAAAGAGAGAGTGAGGGGGAGGAGTGGTGACAAACAATAACAATGACAATGACAATGAATTTCAATAATGGGAAGACTGGAGAGAGAATAGCCATAATGAAAGGGGAAGTGAAAGGAGGAGAGCTTTCAGGAAGAACACTCGAAGCTCCCTTAATAAAGGTAAATTAAGTATTTTAAAGTAACTGACATTATGACCTAAGCCAAAATTATCACATCATGACATCGCTCTTTTAATAGTATAGACGTGGTACATGAATTAAAACTTAAAAGAAATACGATGTAGGAAAGTTAGTGTAATCTATCCAAAAAGCAGAGTATCAAATGAGTCGGGTATAAAAACATTGGCCAAAATGAAAAACTCAAGCATCACGCATAAGATTATTTGATAAAGAATACTGTGGTGGTAAGAGATTATTCAACAGATCCAAAATAAATGTGTAACATCTTGGTTTTCAAAACTACGAATCTAAGGCAATAGAACACAAATTTACCACCATTTTGTATGTAAATGTTGCACCAGATCTCTATTTGTAGAACAATAGCCTAGAGCAAAAGTACTGATCTGTCTAAGCCGATCTGTACAACAAAAGCATTTGAATTGCACCCAAAAATCTGATAGACAGTTCAACCCTGGAACTTTTCCAAATCTCCAGCTAAAATTTCACCCAGATTCAGTTAAAAGTAATGAATTCAGCTGAAACTAATTTCCACATTTGAAAAGTATGGGTAAAACCCATATTAGCACAAACACGAAATATGATTCAAGGCTACTTCAAATTCATTCAAATATTCCTACTCAGATAAAAGCATAAAACTATAAATACAAATTACAAATTCTTGGCCGGCAGGAAAGTTGCCCAAACACCACATTCAATTTTCACCTCCACCATCAATCAATCACATCTAGCTTTTCAACGCACTTTGTCGCTCCCTCCACAGATCCTTGCAAGCACTCCTCCTCCCAAATGTCAGTCCTCAAAACGAAACAAGCTGTGCAGTTATTGGTCCTTGCTGCAATTGTTGTCAATACTGGTGAAGCGGTTCTTGCAGTTGAACTTGAACTTGAACATTCAGTGGTGCATTCATATCCATAGTTGCTAGTTCTTCCAACTCTTGCAATGCCGCGATTGCACTCACAGCAGTTTCATTGTTTAAGTGTGGCTTCACCATGCTGATGGCCTGCTTGACTCTCGATTGCTACAAGTAATACAAATACATATGACACGTTATCTACCTTTAAGTCATTTGGAAAGCATGGTGAAACTCAAAGATATTGTTACTAGCAACTACTATTTAACTTACAAAATGTGCAATTTTGTTCTTGAGATCTTCATATGCCACCGATTGTTGAATTGCAGTCATTGATCCATTCTAATATATCCCAAAATGAGGCTACTCAATAAGAATCAAATAGTCCAGAAAAAAGGGATCTAAAGAGAAAAAAAATTAAGAAGAAGAAGAAATAGCAAGCATCTTTTTCAACAAAACCGAAGGCAATTTTTTTGTCAATTGTAATGAAGTAATTTACAAATATGAAGATAATTACATTAAACTAAAAAATCAACTATATAAAAAGGTCAAGACAAGTCCGCAAGCCCAATATCACATAAATACAATAAATAGCCATTTAATAGGGAAGAAATAAACAATTAAATACCTCCTAATTACAGGGGTCATGTTAGTATACACATCCCTTTTGGAGTGACCACAAATGTCACAAAATCTTTTTTAATCATAACTAAAAAAGAAGTCATAACCAACCATTACAAAAGGTATAATATAACAAATACTTTTTCTATCCCACAATAATTCATAACCAACATAAATCAAAACTAACCTACAATCACATAACCAACCATCACTTAAGGTATAATCAGGGCCGGCCCTGGGCTAAGGCGAGTAAGGCCTGTGCCTAGGGCCCCCAAAATTTGCCCCAAAGTAGGGCTCCAAATTTTAAAGATCCATTATACTATCAAGTTTTAAATAAAGTCCAATTATTGTTAGAAGCCCTCAAAAACAAAACAACCCACTAAAATAGAAGCCCTCCAAAATAAAACAGCCCACTATAAAAGGCCCAAATAAAAACATGTTGCAGGCCTATATTCTACTGAGATGGCCCCAAAACCTGACTGAGATGGCCCCAAAACCTGCTAGAAAGACAAGCTCAAACATGAGGCACACAAAGCTAGTTTGCAAGATTTACACTACAAGTGTATAAGGCATGCATGGAATGACCAAACCAAGTCAAAACAGATCTGAGGCATGCTGAAATAACCCTAAATACATGCTAAGAACAAGCCAACACAAGCTTAATAAATATGCTCAAACATGGGACCTCAAAATCACCTTTCCACCACTGAAAATCCTCTGAATTTCAGTGGTAGAAAGGTCATGCAAAGGCTATAACAAGAGCCAAAAGGGGTGGCTCAAAACAAGGCCTAACAAGGCCTAAGAGGGGATGGACCACCCCTAATGCAAAAGTGACCTTAAACAAACTTCACAAGGACTGAAAAACAAAACTTTTTGCAGTAGAAAGTCAAAGCAAAAACAGCATGCAAGTAGGGCTAAAATCTTAAGCAAAAATGGGGGTTTAAAAGGTTAAAAGCTCACCCTTGAAGACCACCCTTAAAGCTGTAACTCCAGCAGTTTCTTTAAGCTCAAACCAGTCCAAGAACTTCAAAAACAACTTCAAGGGACCTCAGCTCCAAGAGTATGGTGTTTAAGTGTGTGTTTGTGTGTTAAAGTGTGACAAAACTACACTTTTGAAGCATAAAAATGAAGTAAAGGGCAAGATAGATACAAGGGTGTATCTACAACTCTTAAGGCAATTTTTCTGAACCTAGAGGAGGGAGGAGGTGGTTCTCTCTTATAGAGAACAAAAGACAAAGCTTCTTGAGGAAGCTAAGGGTTCAAGGCCATCCCTCCATACACGTGCATGGAGGATGGTTTCAGTGCCCTCCAGCTGCCAGCTGGAGGAAAATATCTCCAAAAAGGTGACAAAAAGCAGCCGACCACCATAAGTGGGACCAAGACAAAAACTGGTCGGCCATGGTGGGAGAGAGTCTAGAGCATGAAAACAATGCAGTGGTGTGGTGGCCGACCAGAAAAGATGGCCAAAAGACCAAGAAGAGCAGTTGTCAGACCAAAAAATTGGCTGGCGGGAAGAAAAGTGGTCTCCAAGGGGAAATACTGGTCTTCCACCCTTGTACCACTTTCCAAACAAGAAAAACAAGGCTTGTACCAAAAACAAACCAAAAAGGATGTAAGACGAAAGTTCGGGAGGGAAAGCACGCAGCCAGAAGCCTCGAAAACTAGTCTACGGGCCTCAAAGGTGGTCTACGACCACAAAAGTGGTCTTCCGGACTACAGCGTTCCTCTAGGCAGAGGCAACAAGGCATGGTTCAAAAATCAAGCCAAACGGAGAACGTTAAGCGGTCCCGAGACAAGGCGCGCGACCGAAGGCTCCGAAAATCAAAAACTAGTCTCCAAGCGGGAAATGTGGTCTACGACCACAAAAAGGTGGTCTACTAGACCACTTCCTCTCTCCAGGGAAGAGAAACAAGGTTCGGTCCGCAAACCGAGCCAAAGTACAAAGAGTTCGGAAGCCCGGAGGCAAGACTCTCAGCCAAAACTTTGAAACCTCTGAACGAGCACAACATGCACAATCACCGAACACTCAATCGATGACGTCTGAGTCTTAAGGCCAGTCAAAAATGGGGTGTTTACACTTATTTCAACTCTATTATATGCATGTGTAATTCAACTCTACCATATAATAAGTCTAAGTTATTCGTCATGTTTCAATCAGAAACATCGCCAACTTAGTTCAACTCTATTATATGCAAGTATAATTCAACTCTGTCGTATAATAAGTTTGAGTTATTTGTCATGTTTCAATCAAAAACATCGCCAAAGGGCTGGTCAGTTCAATTACACAAATTTCAAAATCAAGCTAAAATTTTATTATTAATTCGGCTAAGGACATAAATTTTGAAAATTTGCTTCACTTGGCACTCTCCAATTTGGAGGGATACTACCAAGGCATCATTGTGTGGATGCTGCACCATCTCTAGGTCATCTTCAGTAAAGGACACCATCGGTCCCTAGCACTCGTCTGCCCTAGGTCTCTTCTGCCGGACCTGATACACATGTTACAGGTGTTTCACCTTTTGAGTTTCCCCATATATCTCGTTTTCATTGACCTTCGAGTGAAACACATTGATCACTCCAGGTCTGCCTACTTGCAGTTGCGGTGCTGGTGGAGGTGGTGCTGCCGGTGTCTAAGGCAGTCTCACTTGCTCTTCCTTTGTCCTGATTTCATCTACCAGGTCCCTTAGATGACCTTGTCTTACCAGGGCTTCTAGATGTGCCTTTAGGGCTCTGTACCCCTGAGTCAGATGCCCATTCTCATTGTGGTAGGCACAGTGCTTCTCCAGACTTCTTTCCATAAACTCGCCAGGAGTCTTCTCTGGTGCCCTATAATACGATTGGTTCCTGATGCTCTCCAGAACTTTGTAGACTGGAATCCGAAATATGGTAGTGACTGCTTGTGTAGCCCTCAATCCTGTCTCTTGCTTATTGTATCCATTATTTCCTCGGCCTCGCTTCGGCGAGCCGTTCTTCTCTTGTTTGGACACCTTTGTTCCCGGCGTGTCCTCCTCGGCTCTCGCATACTTCTCTATCCTGGCCATTAGTTCATCCATACTTTTTGGCAATGTCTTTGTCAGTGACTTCCGAAGCGGACAATCATCGTGCAGGCTGTTCTTAAAAGACACGACTGCCACCTCTTGGTTGCATCCTAGTATTCGGTTGAATACCTCATAATATCTTTTGGTATAGACCCTAAGGCTCTCTCCCTCACCAATTCTTAGAGCCATCAGGGAGTCCACCCTTAACGGCTGTAGTTTGTTTGTCATAAACCTGGCCACGAACATCTCGGCCAGGCCCTCTCAGCTTTTCACAGTTCTTTTCGGCAAATTGTGAAACCTGTCTAATGCGATTTCCCCAAAGAATGAAGGGAACACTTTGCAGAGCAGTGGCTTGTTCCCGGTGTATAGTGCCATTGAGTTCAGGTACAAGCCGACATGAAAGTTGGGGTCGAATTTATCGTCGTATATCTGCAATCTCGGCATATGGAACCTCTTCGGGGCCTCAAACTTGTCCAATTCTACCGAGAATGGCGTTCTCGACTTGACTGGTGATGTTACCTCGGCATCTTGTCGCTTCCTCTAGAGGTAGTCCCTCAAATCCTCCTTGGTCCGTCCAGGAGCTTGGCTATCAACGGATTTTAGTCTTTTCAGTGCGCTACTCCCGGTGTTATTATGAGTCCTCTTGGACCTCCCTCCATTAGTAGTATTGAAGCAAAGCTCCTTTCCTTGAACATGCCGATGTTCTTTAGTATGGGCTTCTTTACTATGATGTGTTTTCCGAGAATCTCCCTTTAATGACTCTCCTCGCCCGACCTCCGTTGAGGGCCAGTGAGAACGTTCCTTGGTCCTATCGTGCTAAGGAGCTGTAGGAATTGTCCTCTGCCCCTATGTCTGGGCATCTTTTTTGGCGGCTGGAATCGACGTATCTTGTAACGGAAATGGTGGTTGCATGATGTTGTTCTGGATCATAAAGTTGACGACTGATTGCAGGTTCGCCAATTTGTTCGTCATTCCTTTCATATTGTCGTCCCTCCGTAGGCACCTTTCTTTCCATACCTGGAGGTCGTCCTCATTATAGTACTCGCCTCGGTCTCCTTTTTTTGGTCTGTCTCCCTTCTGGCCGATGCCCTTCTCTCCGGGATTATTATCTTGAGTTTCTTCATTACAGTTATCCTCCTCCTCGTTATGGTCAACGTGTTTACCACTCTCAGCGGGGACGTCGTCCCCGATCTTCTCTTTCTCTCCATCGTTAGCCATCTATTCTCCTTTCTTTCCCACAGACGGCGCCAAATTATGTGTGCTGTTTTTTAACCACACTGCCAACCAGGTACTCAGCTAGAGAACACCGACAAAATAGATTGTGTCCAAACGACCTGTCATAGAAAGAAAAGACTCCGGCGGTGGTTCTTCTACCCAGGGGCATTCTGACGATCAAGTCAGTAATCAATATCTCTCAAAGATAACCAATTGTGCTTAACTCACAATCTAAGATATAAAAAGCGTACTTTAGACCCACGAGGGTGCCTTACTTTTATAACCAACACTGACCTGATCCCTGTAGAAGCCTTACTTCAATGGACTCTGGCTCAATGCCTATCCAGGACTCTAAAATAGATAAAGATAAACTCCTTAAGAGCTTTATCCTTATCCAGGCTGAAGTCCTCCCTCATTCTAGGACTCTTATAACTTATCCGCTCATCTCAGATTTCGGTATCTCCGCAGATAACCTCAGCCTAGCCGAGATTACCTCGGCGTCAAGTCAAGGACACATGGCACCTCGTCTGTCATTTTAGTACCACCTTGGCCACGTGTTGCAATCTAGAAAATAGGTCCCCACAGTTTGTATGCAAGGTAATTGGAATAAAAGATCCAAATAGTAATACTTACTTGGCCCATTTATAGTCTTTGTAATCCTTGTACTTGACCCATCATCCAACTAATTAGGCCCAGCAAGCCTTAAGGTTATCTTTGGGGTGATTCTATTTGCACCAAAATAGTAACTCAGTAGGTTCAGTTAAAATTTTAAAATTTTAATTCCTATTATACTTAATGTAAATTTACTAATAAAGACAATATAAATTAAATCATAAAATACAATTTATTTATTTTTTTGATGGTTTACTCACTTAAGAGGGGTTTTTTTTTTTTCTTCTTTTCATGATATACTCACTTAAGAGGGTTTTAGGGTTCATGGAAGACCTAGGTTTTGTTGTATTTTTTTCAATCTCATTTATGGTTCAATCAACACATGAAGCAGAAGCTAAAGAATGCCTG